CGGCCGGCAGCGCCATCAAAGAGCGCGGGAGAGACGGGGATGACATTGCTGAGACGGTTTGCCGAGGCGGAAGAGGCGGGACGGAAGCTGGGGGTGGCGGGCCCGCCAAAGAGCGCGGCTGAGTCGAGGTACTGTTGGGAGAGGCGCTGCGGGGCTAGGTGAACCGAGTCTGCCGAGGTGGAAGCGTCGGTGTCGTCGGTGTCGGCGCGGTGCTCGATGGCAAGGACGACGGGGTCTTGCTTCTTAGCGCCGAGCATGGCGATGCTGAGGGGGCGTGCGCGCGACAGGTTCCTGGAATGCGAGCGAGAGTGAGAGCGAGCGTGCACGACTGAGGGGCCGACGGCAGAGACGGGACGCGGCTGTACTGGAGTGGATGAGGAGACGATGATCTGCGCCTGGGACCAGAGTGCGTTGGGTGTGATGGAGATGGAACCAGCCCGGGAGTGGCCTCGAGCGTGACCGGAGCGAGATGCGGAGCGGGCGTGTGCTGGTGCTGTCTCTGTGAACGAGGCCGTGGGAGTGGAAGCTTGCGAAGCGATCTGATTCGACAGGGCTTGTGTGACTGCTGCTGATTGGACCGAGTCGGCGGTGCGAGAGCCCGAATCTGTGCGCGAGTGGGAGGAGGAAATGGAGGAGCGCTTCTGGGCCATGAGCGCTTGCTTTGCGCGGTAGCTCTTGAGCTTTTTCTTGGCCGAGAGGATCTGGTCGCCGCGATCGCGAGTGGATGCCGAGGAACTCGCGGCAGCATTGGCTGTGGGCGTGGACATGGTTGCTATGCGGTGTATGCGCCGCTGCTATGTGGACGGAGAGGCGACGTTGCGTGTGCAGAGAGAGTTGAGCAAGAGACGGACGACGTGGAGGATGTGGGGATGCAGAGTCGCTGCCGGCAGCGATGAGTGGGTGTAGACGATCTTTGACCAGCAAAGAAGACGAAGGGGAGAGCAGCAGCTGAGGGCCTCTCAGAGGCGCCGGCCGACTGCGAGTCTGGGAGAGTTGCTGTTGACGTTGAGATCGCGGGCGTGGATATGAAGACGCCTTTGTGGGATGAATACGAGATCCGAGGGGAGGGGGAAGAGTGGTGAGCGAGATGAAGGGAACGGAGGTCAAGCTGAGGCAAGCGTGTCACTGCCGCGTCTACTCGACCGGGAGGGATGAGGGGGATGGATGAGGAGCCAAATGAAGCCGAGGAGCGGCGGCGGCGGCGGCGGCTCTGCCAAACTGCAACAGGCACTCACTCAGACGCCCCGAGAAATGTGAGAGCGGCTCGAAGGCACGCAGGGGGAATTCAAACGCCCTCCCATCGAGGCGGCCGGCAGTGGGTGGCTGCTCTGCGTCTGCGTTTGCAACTGCAACTGCAACTGCAACGTGCAGCCGCCTCCGCCCCACCCACTCGACTTGATTTGAGGACTTTGGCGGTTGCTCCGCTCCTTGCCAGGCGAGACAGCAAAGGATCGTCGCCTTCAAGACGCCATCCGCGCTTAGCGAGGTTGCAAGCCAAAATGGCGATTTCCCTCTCTCTCGCTCTCTCGGCTT